TCTCTGGGTTGGAGCTGCCCCAGTTAATTTTAAGCCAAAACCGATGGTAATTCATCTTGGGCAAACCCAAGTAAATATTTAAGGTCCATTCCAGAACCTCTGTGAGCAAGGAGATGGGTTGCATACGGGCTTCCCTCAGTAAATCCTAGGGATGTGCACCTTGTCCCAGTTCAGCAGTTCACCACTTGCTGTTGCTGCCACTTATTCACTCCCAGGAAGCCAGAGATTATAGACACAGGTACAGGGTATGAGGGGAGGGAAGGCCAAGGCTGAGGCTACAAGGTGAACCCAGAACCGCTGTCCGCATGAGAACTTGTGCTGAGTAGAAGGACAACACTGTTCACCGGTTTCCTCAACAAAGCGCATTTGGAGAGCACATTAGATGTGTTTCCCAATTCCCGGAAAATAACACCTACCACATGGGAAGTAATAAAGGTTTTAGCATCATGGAGTAGCATCCCTTCCAAACACGTGGAATGAATTAATGAATGAACCAACACATGAATGAATGAAAAAATGAGTTCCAGGTGGGCAAATCTGAGTCTTCCACCTCCTGTGACTGACCAGTTGGGTTTTCTCTCCAACACACAGCTGGGAGACTTGGTACCATGAAAAAATGAGAAATCTGCTACCTCTTCTGGGGAAGCTGTTTTATGAACCAGGGCCAGTTTCTACATTCCTGGACTGACTTCAAGAACTTAAAATATGTGTAGGAACTGTCTATGAGAACTGTCCTTCTGACTAGGGCCAGGACAAAATAGTAGGCACTTCTTTCAAAACGACAACAAAAGGCCACGGAAAGGTTTTGAACCAGGGCCTTCAAAGCACGGTCCTTCTGCCACCCCAAGCTTAACTAAATAGAGAAGCACCAGAGATGAGGACCCACAGAGTGGGATCTGGACACTACTGGGGCCAGAGCTCCACTGAGGTCATTGAAACCTGCCCAGGGGGTAGGGAGTTCAACAGAAGGATTCAGATGTAATTGCTATAGAAAAAGGGAAAAGAAGGAGCAGGGGGTGGAGAGACAGATCAGCAGGTAAAGTCCTTGCCATGTAAGCATGAGGACCTGAGATTGGATGCCAAGAATCCACATAAAAAGCTGGGTGTGGTGGTGTAGGCCTGTAATCCTGGTGTTAGGGCGGTAATGCCAGGAGCTCATTGGCTAACTAGTCTTGTCAAATCAGTGAGCTCCAGCTTCATGGAGAGACCCTGTTTCAAAAAATAAGGGGGCTAGCGAGAGCAGAAGACACTCATCATGGACCTCTGACATGTGTACACATATGAAGACATACACATGCATACACCATACACACATACACAGGGGTGGGGGCTAGGTGAGTGGAAGAAAGGCAGGAAGATGCAAGACAGGCCAGCTGGAAGGAGAGCCAGTCAACATTGTCATAAAAGTGTTTTCAATCCCATAGCGGCAAATTAGAAAAACGTATTCTGACCTCCTGGGGACTAAGGACCTTACAAAGATGGGCAAATTGCTAATCCTTAGAAGCTACAAGGATCTACTAAGTAAGTAAATAGCAAAACGCAGCCATGAAAGAAAGTAGTGAAGGGCCAAGGACTTGAGATGGAGATTGACAATATTCACAGCAAGGTGGTGCTTTGGTGATTAGAACCTGGGGCATGGCCTCTTCAGGCAAGAAGCCTGGAGAGCTTTGTTAGGAAAGTTTTAAAATCCAGAGCACTGGGGAAGCTGGTGAAGGTAAGGAGGGTGGTGACTGGTCAGGGCTGTCTGAAGTTCAGCCTGTGGCCAAGGGGCTGGATCAGGGGCAGAAAGCCTGGCACGACTGCCCAGCGGAGAGACAGCAATTCTATTTATATTGAGCAGGCATGGGGAAGGCCGGAGGATTGTGAGTTCTAGTCCAGCCTGGGCTACATAACAAGACAGAGAAGGGAAGGAAGGAAGGAAGGAAGGAAGGAAGGAAGGAAGGAAGGAAGGAAGAAAGGAAGGAAGGAAAGAAGGAAGGGGAGGGAGGGAGGGAGGGAGAGAGGGAAGATGGAAGGAAGAAGATTTTCTATCTCTGTTTCTTATCTAATAGAAGTAAAAGAAGTGAATTGAAGGGCTTGAATGTGTCCTTCCTGGTTCCATGATTCCTGTTCAATTTGTTCCTCAGTGGGATTCGTAATTATAATGCTTTATAGCTTCAGGGCATAGAGTGAAATTACATCCACTTCCAGTAATGACTTCTAAAAGAATTTTTTAGATAAGTAGCTACTAAAAACTCATTATTAACAAATAATTACTTGATTATTTCCTCCCGTTTTTCCTAATAGTCCTTTGGATAGCTTTTATTACTTATAAAAATTCTCTATATAGGCAATGCCATATTCTTTTTTTCTTAGAAGCAGTGAGACCCTTCACACTATACAATCAGTGTGTGCACACTCGTGGGTGGGTAAAATCTTTATAAATTGTTGAATTTCTTTGGACTTAAAATCTAAAGTTATAAACTGTGTTATAAAGTATTATCCTCTGAGCCAAACTGCCACCAACTTCTTGAGGTCAGCTCTTGAGAGTCCATCAAGACAGAACTGTTAACATTTTCTCCTAGGAGGGTGAGCAGGTCATGGAACCCTCAACCTGAGTATCCGGCTGTTCTTTCCAGCCATTGTATGCAAGGCTGCCTTAATTGTCCATAGCTAGTATATAAGCTGGGAAAAACTAGGGGTAAGAGGCTCCATCTAAGGGGTGACACCATCCACATGTGGTGGAGACTTTGCAGTGTGGCTGCTTTGGGGTGTCACTCATGCTCCTGCTCAGTAACTCATCCCCCCTGCTAAGTACATAACCCTAATAAACTCATTGGCTCCCAGGGTGAACTGAGGCAGAATGTACTTTGGTTTGTGATTAGCATCTTTAGAGGAGGGAGGGGATGTTGTTCACATCTTCCCCAGAAAAAAATTCCTGTGACACATTGGCTTCTAGAAATGATTTTGTAGGCTGATAAGTCCTGGGACGTATGGACTTCTACAAATTCTCAACAGTCCTTCAATGGTTTCCCTTCTCTGGTTCCTTTTGAATAAGCAGGAGTGCCTAGCAGCGAGTCTCCCCTCTCCTCTGCCCGGGACCCTCTTGGAACTGCAAAATGAATCTACTCTCACTCCCAAGCCCGCTCTCACTTCTGAAGAGATGTGAGAATCAAAAGAGGAGTTAAATGGAAAGAGTTTAGGATGTTCCTGAGTATAATAAATGAAATAATAGTCTCTTCAGTAACCATTTTGTAAGCTGGCCCTGTGAGCCTACAAAATATTCAAAAGACATTAAAATAAGAAAATCAGAGAGGCCAGGTGTGAGAGAGATTACCATAAAAATAACTCATAAACATTTTGTCTCAGCCTCTTCACAATAATGTGTGTGCACGCATGTGGGTGTGTGCATATGTGCGTGTGTGTATATGTGTGTATGTGTGCATGCGTGCAATGTTTGAGCAATGGTACTGACATGACATGGTTAAGATGTGAAATGTTCTTTCCCCTTCTTCTTACATGGCCCTTTTGCGTTAGCTGGCAGTGAGGTAACTGTATTGCACCTGTTAGTTGCCACATTTCTTCTACGACTACTATACATGTTGATCGTGGGCCTTTGCCAGTTTTACTAATTGTTTGTGTAATTATGCAAAACCTCTGTCAACATCTCTGACAATCAAAGAACACCAGGCCAAATATTTCCCAAACATAACCCAGGGCCATTGGCATAGAAGAAAGGCTATTTATCATAAAGCCAGAAGCGACTTGAGACAAATCTAGTTCTCATTGGGAATGTCAGGCCTGTTCCCAGTGTTGGCTTATTTAATCATCCCCAGGACCCTCCAGAAGCTCACTAAACCAAGAACCGCCCAACTTGAAAAGCTTACTGTTTGCTAGCTAATGACAGGTGATCCCCAAATTCAAACCTTTGTCAATCATGGATGAGTCTTCCCAGAAAGCCTTCCCAAGAGTTTACTACCATCCATCAAGGTCTAGTGCAGAAGAACAGTCATTTCAACTACCCTTTCAGAGTTCATGTTTACGGCTGGGAAGCCGTCTACCAATGGAAGAGTCACCCCAACAGTGAGGTTCAGAAACACATGAGCAAGTGCGGCCTAGTGGATGGCATGTGCTCCTCAGGTCTACCCACTCTTATCAGCTTTACATTCAGAAGATGGATGTTCCTTGAGGGTCATATTGGCTGCAACTCCTTCAAGAGCCTCTAGAACACAAGATGAAACACTGAAGATTAAACTAATTAGATTAATTAACATACTTCAAGGACATCAAAATATAATTTAAGACTGTCTGAAGGCTGGGCGTGTTGGTACATTCCTGTCATCTGGTATCTGGTACGTGCTTACTGAACTCTAGTCCTCTGGAAGGGCAGTGTGTGCCCCTGACTGGGTCATCTCCCCAGTCAGATCCCAGCCCTTGGGTGGTGGATGCAGGAGGATAGGGTGTTCTAGGCTATTCTGGCAACACAGTGAGTTCAAGGCCAGCCTGGGATGTGTGAGACCTTGCAGGTAGAGGTCAGAGGACAACTCCAAATATTGATCCCTGCCTTCTACCTTGTTTAAGTCAGGGTCCTTTTTGTTGTTTACTGTTGCAAACATCAGGCCAGCTGTCCCACAAGCCTCCAGGAATTCTGTCTCCATCTCCCATCTCACCACGGGATTTGACATGTGTTACCAAGTCTGGCATCACATGTGTTCTGGGGACAAACTCAGATCCTCACATCTGTGGGGAAAACACTTTGACCCACTCGTTCATCTCAACCCCGACTAATTCTTGATACTATGGTTTACCAGGTGTATGGATGAGTATTAAATCATAGTGTGGTTGGGGGAGTTATGATGAGCACCAAGTGAGGGTGTTTAAGCTTGAGCTCCATATCTTTAGAGTGCACCCTTAATATCAACTAAGTCATCAATAATGCATCCAAAATTGGGATGGGGGAGTGGAGGGGGGGGAAATCCCCAGGACATCCTGAGAGAAAACAATGACATCTCCACACAAAGTCTTTAGAACATTATATTTCATAAAAGACAATGATAAAAAAAGTACAAACATTTCCATGAGAAGCAAAACAAGACAAAAAAAAGATTGCAAGGAATCACTAGCATTTACGTCAATGCACTTACATAGAAGCATTTTATATTGTAATAAATAATCTTAAGTACACTTCCACCTCCTGAAAAACAACACTGTGACAGTTTGCTTCTCAATTGACAATTTGCAAACCCAAGGCAAGAAATCTAGAGTGCTGTTTGTCTGACAGGTATATAAAGGAACAGGACAAGGTCCAATACAATGACACAGAATCTGCTTCGGCTCTCAGAGTCTCCAAAGGGAGACTATTGTATTGGCTATGCTTCCGTTTTGTTTTAAGATGGTTATAGGGAATGTAAGCTTTTAATAGATAATTCTGTACTTAAATTTTATAAATAAGGTTTTCTTAGTGAATACCTTTTCATAAAATACAAACAGCAATTTAATTTTTAATTAATTTTTGATTAACTTTGTATGTGTGTGCACCTGTGTGTGTGTGTGTGTGTGTGTGTGTGTGTGTGTGTGTGTGTGTGTACATGTGCATGTGTACACATATGGAAGTCAGAGGACAACTTGCAGGGGTAGGTTCTCTTCTCCTACACTGTGGGTCCCAGGGAGGAAACTCAGGCTACCAGGCTTGGGGCAGGCACCTTTACTCTCTGAGCCAGCTCAAAGGTCTACAGCAGAAAATGTATTTATAAAAAGGAAAAAAAAGTCACTTCATTCAAACCCTAGTTTTGGCAAAGAATTTAACGACTTCTTCACTGAGAACCAGAAAGAATGTTACAATGAATGCACATACTTTCTCCCTTTCTTTGATAAACAGCCCATCAGTCATGATTTCTTTCTCTAGTTCAAAGGCATCATATGATTTCCCCAGGGCCATGAGGACCTCCCAGCATCTCTGTGTCCACACTGGATTTGAGACTAAGACAACTGACAGATGAGTTATCAGATGGCAGCTTCCTTATTTCAGAGAAGTTTCAACTTTCTGATTTGACTTGTTTAGGGAACAAAACAAAACTTTTAAACAGCCACAGTTAGCAAGGCAGCCAGCCCATGGGGAATAGAAACCTAGTGAAAACCACCGGGGTAGATGTGATTGTATCAGACTGTCTGCTTCCGCTAATATGTAAGGAAGAGATTTATTGTCAGGTGACCATGGTAACTGGGCAAAACTGTCATCCGTGGGAACTTATATAGGTCACTGCTCATAACTGAAAATAATTCTGGGCCTGAATTTAAAAAGCAAAATAGAAAACAAAGTGGTGAGGTGGTTCTCATAGGCTGGCTCACCTGATTCAACACCAAAACAGAACAAAAACACTTACATCCAATTCCTGAAGCCATATTAATACCAGATGTAATCCAAGAGAGTAAGGCAGATTACCTGGGGTCCTGAATTTTCCTGAAACAGTGAACTGTGTATCAATTCAAAACGGTATCCCAACGTCCACATTATAAAATGTGTTTCCTCAGTAAGATTCAGCACGGTGTCAATTTCCCCAGCACTGGGAGGAGGGAGCAGCTCTGGGTCACCTGCCTGTATCCCTGTCTCACAAGCCCTCAGCAACAGTAATACTATAATCTGCTGTCATTCTGTCAAATTAAATACTGCATTAGCCACAGAAAAATAAATGGATAACATACAAATATCTTCATCGGCAGAAGTTCTGATTTTTCACTATTTTGAGTAACAAAAAAGTTAAAAGGTAAATATTTTAGAACCACTTCTAAGAATAAACATGGAAAGACTGGTGTCATGACAGACAGGGTAAGGATTTTAATTTCTGTATGATTTGGCTTGTGGCCATTAGCATTACCAAAACTATGACAGAAGATCACAACTGCAAGCCAAGATCTTAACACTAGATAGAAAAGGGGAGCAGAGTCTCCCACACCCAGAATTCCCTCCCTCCTCACTCTTGGGGAAGGTTCACTTTACAGGTAGACGGTGTTCTGCTGTGGGATGTTCTGTATGGCAAATGTGTTGCTGATTGATCAATAAATAAAACACTGATTGGCCATTGGCTAGGCAGGAAGTATAGGCAGGACAAGGAGGAGAATAAAGCTGGGAAGTGGAAGGCTGAGTCAGAGAGACACTGCCAGCCGCTATGATGACAAACAGCATGTGAAGATGCTGGTAAGCCACGAGCCACGTGGCAAGGTATAGATTTATAGAAATGGATTAATTTAAGCTGTAAGAACAGTTAGCAAGAAGCCTGCCACGGCCATACAGTTTGTAACCAATATAAGTCTCTGTGTTTACTTGGTTGGGTCTGAGCGGCTGTGGGACTGGCGGGTGATAGAGATTTGTCCTGACTGTGGGCCAGGCAGGAAAACTCTAGCTACAGTGTTCTGTTTTAAATTTATGAAAGTATGGGAGATAAGATCTTACATAGAATATGTGATCCTTTTCAAGAATCTTTATAATGGATCATTTTCAAAGTAAGAATACTGTTTGGGCTTTGTCGTTTTGTCATGGAAAACCTCATCCAAATTGAGGATGAGTGAACTTGGCAGTAGGTAGTGAGACATATTTCAGAAGTTACAGTATCCACACATTCAATGAACCGATTTTAAGGTAAGTCTAGAGGCCCTTGGTTCAATCCCCAGTGCCACAGAAAGGGGGGGGGGGGCGGCATTAAATTACACTTTTGATGAGAAAATTTTAATAACACTGGAGATTTCTTGAAAGTGGAAAAAAATAGTTTCAATGACTGGCTGATATGAAAGGGGAACTGTGTGCGTTTGAGAATTAAAGTTGAAGTTATTTTTAATCTAAGCATTTATCTTCATAAAAATAGAGTATCTAATTTCTCATCTAATAGTAGAATTCATCTGTAGAAGCACAACTGGGTTTTCCCTAAGTTCATTCTTAAAAAAAGTTTTTAAAAGAAGATACTCTCTTTTGTTCTTCTTAACTGGAAATAATAATGCTGTTCATTATGAAACTGAAAAAAAAAATACAGTATATAAAGACAACCTTGGGAACTTTTTTTTTTTTTTGAGGCACAAGATCCCTGACACTTACATCGGAGGTACATAGAGACATTTAACGTGAAGAGGTCCTGTACAGCATGTCACTTCACAACTTTGAAGGTTTTCTTGGTAATACTCATGCAGTGCGCATAAACAGTATGGCTGTTGACTTGGCAAAATCTGATGAGATTGCAAGCAAGGAAAAACAGAACAAAACAAAACCAAACCAGGTAATTCTGGCAGGAAGAAAAGCTGTGCGCATCTTTCCCTCTTTCCTTCCGTGCCCTCAGAGGGCTGGGCCTGCGTCCACAGGAGGCTGAAGGTCTAAAGCTGAACACCAGCAGAACAGTTACTGTATCCATCGCTGGCACTTCCTTCATGCCATACAAGGCTGAACCTTTGTTTCGAGACATAGATTTACATAATTTTCCCCATGCAAATAAAAAATGTCTATAAAAGTCCAATGAAGGCATAACCAATCACATGCAAAATTGTGACATCTTATTTTTCAACAATTTGAACACATTTAATTTACATCACATATGTACAAAATATGTTTTGAACAGAAATAAAAGCATTCTCTTGAATTAAATTATAGATTTCAGTATAAAAAAATCTTCTCTTTGTAGGGAGCTCTCTTCACTTCCAGTCCCAAGCAATGGGTTCAGGTCTCTACAATGCTTGCCATGGAGGATGCCCCAAAGCAGGGAGGAGAGTGGGGGAGTGTGATGGTATGGAGTCCCACGCTGTAAACATTAAGGACTGCTGGCTCTTTTCACAGACTGGGACATTGAGACATGTCAATCTCTAACCTCCATGCAGAGTACACTCCAAGCCAAGTTCACAATCCAGCACTGTGGTCTACCCCACCATGAGAGACTTCTTTTAATAGTCTTCAATTGGAGCTAACTCTGGCATGAGGTTTACAGATATATTCGTATACAACCTATCAACCAGTATTTTGGGCGTGTATAATAAATTGTTCAATCCATCGATGTACTGACGCTCCTTAGAATACCTTAGTAATTTATACCTAAAGAAAAAGCAGTAAACTAGGTAAGAATATAAACATATATTGTCTACATTTATCTGTCTGTATCTCTCTATATACACAACACACACACACACACACACACACACACACACACACACACACACACACACACACCCCAGCAATCCAGAAACATTTGCTAAAGAGACCTTTGATCATGGAAGTAACTTCCTTCTATTTATCTTCTTTAAACATGCAGTATATTAGTTTTGAAGCCCGGAAGTCTCGAGATGACCATTAAACTTACCGCCCTAAGAACTGTACTTCTCCCCGATGGTGATGAGGGATAGATGTGTATTTTCCCAAGTCCCCCTCGGGCCGGGTTACATTATACCCAGCATAGTGAACTCTGCAAGGCAATATAAAATGGACTGAATGAATTTCAGAACAAAAAGGGAGAACAAAAACAAATTTAAGAACTCCAAACTTTCCAGCCCAAAGTCTCCTTTCTTAGAAGAGGCAGATGTGATTTACAAACTATACAGAATTTAGAAACCCAATTACTAAAGCAACTTGTGCCTCACCGTACCTGTTCCAAAGGTCATCGTCCTCTCCTCCCCAGCCCCAGAAGGCATTGGGAAAGCCGTTGATCTTCCTAAACTGCTCCACGGTCAGGCCACTCACCCCACCGAAGAACTCCTTATACGGAAGACTGCAAAAGAGATCACGACCCAGTGGTCCACATCAGTCAGGACAGCCGGCCACTCAGAAAGTCAGCTCCACCTCTCATAAAGCTTTGACACACACACTTCTAGTTTCACAAAAACAAGCCGATTTAGAGGGGGGAAATTATTCTGGAAAATGTGACCAGAGAAATGAAACATTCTCACAGAACAGCAAAGCAAGTACTAAATGTAAACAAAAACATGCATGGCAACTGAAATTTAATAGTACTTTTGTTTTATGACTCAAAGCCCAGGGTTCAAAAAGTGCATATTATTCTCACACCAAAAAATGTGTTTAAACATGCTAGTAACTCTCAATGGAATGCTAGATCTTGCTAAGCTAAAAGCATTTTAAAATATTAACTGATTTTATTTATAAGCATATTATTTGTTACATGGAACAGAATAAATATAAATCAGGAAGAAATACATGTTTAATTTTGAAATGAAATGCTATTTGTAAAATTACTCTATCACTTTGAATTAAACTCACAAAATACTCGTAGATATTTAATATATAATTTTAAAACATTTTCCACACGTTTATTATGGGGGGTGCCATGCTGCCCCTGGAGAGGGTCAGGTTTTCTTGTAGGAGCCCTGGAGGAGGACAACTTGTAGGAGTCGGCTTTCTCTCCTACTACGTGGGTCCCAGAGGTCAAACTCAGATCATCGGGCTTGCCACAAGCGCTTTTGCCTGCTCAGCCCTCTCGCCAGCTCCAAACACAGTTATTTTTAATGGGCTAGTCTTCAGAGGAAAAAATACCCCTTCTTTTTAATTTAGGTTTTAGTTTCCCTACTTTCTCTAGCTCAAATACCAAGGAGTTGGTCAAACTCTGAAACATTTTGAATGTTTATTACATTTGTTTATTTGTGTATGTGCCTGTGGAGGGGGCGCTATCAGAGGAAACTTTTTGGGAGTTGCATTCCGGGCAGAAGGATGCTCACAGTGACAGCCATGCTCAGCATCCTCCTGCCCACCACCATCCCTCTGCTGCCATCCTCTACTTACAACTTTGTGACTTCTTAAGAAGCTTCCACCTACATCTAAACCTCTGGACGGCTCCAAAGAATTGGCTGTGACTTATGCCCCAGGAATTGCTGGTTTTGAAGAAGCTTCATGCTCACTCCCACAACGGCGGGGCTAATTTACATTCCCACCAGCAATGTCCACCTTCTCTTTCCCCGACACCCTCACCAGCACTTGTTGCTACTTTTTAAAATATGTGTGCAAAAATACGTGGGTTTTTAGTCAGCCATAAAAGAAAAAAAAGTGCACTGTTTAGAGCGTGGTTCCTAACCTTCCTAATGCTGCGACCCTTCAATACAGTTTCTCATGTTATGGTGACCCACACCATAAGATTATTTTCATTGCTACTTCGTAACTAATTTTGCTACTGTTATGAGTAGTAACGTAAAACTCTGAGATGCAGGGTATCTGATATTTGATCCCCAAAGGGGTTGCAACCCACAGGCTGAGAACCAGTGGTTCGGAGGAAAATGGATGCACTAGACACCATTATATTAAGCAAAGTAGGTCCAACTCAGAAAGACAAACATTACACAGTTTCTCTCACCTGCAGAACCCTAGCCCTTGTGGAGATACACAAGAGCATATCTATGTGGGAGCATGACTCTCTTGGGGAAGGAATGAGAAAATCAGGAGGGGGAGGATGACGGAAGGAAGGAAGGAGAACAGAGTCCTCAGTGTGATGCACTTATACAAGAACATCTCCGTGTCACTGTGTGCGTGCAATGGATATGCCAATCAAAATTGCCCTTAAAAAAGGCAGATATCTGGTTACATGCGGTGGCACTATCCATGGTAAGGCATAACTAAGAAGTTCCTGTCTGAGTCATCTGCCTGTGTTTTGCCCAAACCTTCTGTCAATACTGGATCATTAACTTTGACTGGACCGCTTCAGATTGTATACTTAGAGTAGCAATTACTTATGCAATGAAGGTATTTCTAGGGTGCTGGGGAGATGACTCACTAGACAAAGTGCTTGCCATGTAAGCATGAGGAACTGAGTTTGAATCCCCAGCACCCACATAAAAAGCTGGGCCGGTGGTCCCAGCTCTGGGGATGAGACATGTCCCCAAGGCTTGCTGACCATCCAGTTAAACCACTTGGTAAACTCCAGGTTCAAAAATAAGATGGGGCCAGGCGGTGGTGGCGCACGCCTTTAATCCCAGCACTCGGGAGGCAGAGCCAGGCGGATCTCTGTGAGTTCGAGTCCAACCTGGTCTACAGAGCGAGATCCAGGAAAGGCACAAAGTTACACAGAAGAAACCTTGTTTTGAAAAACCAAAAAAATAAAAATAAAAATAAATAAGATGGAAAAAAACTGAGGAAGATACAGGACAGCAAGCTCTGGCCTTCAGATACATACACACGTGCACTATACCTGCCTACACACACACACACACACACACACACACACACACACACACACACACACACACACACACGGGGAGGGGGACATTTGCTTCATATAATTACAGAACAGGTGGTCTGCAGAAGGCAGGTCTGGACGCTGGACCATCCCTGAGGAGCCAGTACAGGTCAAACAGCTAGGACACAGTGAGCTAGGATTAGGGTATGTGATCCCAGCAAGCAGCCCCATAGATGGTCTCAATTGTCCAAGGAAAAGAAAAGCCACCTTGAGAGGACCCCGAGACTAAGCAAGCCCTGAGGGGTAAGAACCCACTTTTAAATCTATGTGCTTACTGAGGCAGAGCCAGGCGGATCTCTGTGAGTTCGAGGCCAGCCTGGGCTACCAAGTGAGTCCCAGGAAAGGCGCAAAGCTACACAGAGAAACCCTGTCTCGAAAAAAAAACAAAAAAAAAAAAAAAATCTATGTGCTTACTATAGGAGCCAGGTTCTTTCCCACCGCGCCACATTCAACCTCTGTGGGATCGCAAATGGACAAACAAGTCCTTGTCCTGGCTCCCGAGCACATGCTGGAATGGGGGATGATATCCCTCAGGGTCCTGAGCAGTCTCAGCGCGAGTCCCAGTGTGCTACAAGCACACTGTACAGCATCAAGAGTGGAGTGCTACTCACATGTACATGTACTTGTCCAGCTTCGCTGCAAAGTGACGCGGCATCTCTCCACATCCGTAATAGTTCCGGTCATTCTCAGGCAGATGATCCACATCGTGGAAGATCACACAGTCCCAGGCGTTGTCTTTCATGGCCTCTTTGAAACCCACATTAAAGAGCATCGCACGATTGAACGGTTGTGTGCCGGTCTCCACAGAGCAGAGAAAATCAGAAATGTACTCAGACTTGGTCATGTGATATTTTCCATCACTTCTTAATTTGTCGTATCATGGTCAAGTAATAATTATATCTTGGTAATGAAATAAACAAGTCAGAAGCATATGTCAGGCTTTCCAAACATGGCCAGGCACCACTTACTAATGGAGGGTTCATTCTGAGGTGTCATTGAGTGACCAACACTGTACAGACATTACAAAGTCATACACAAATTATGGCTTCTCTATCACGGGGCGATACACCCTGGGGAGAGCCATTACACATGTACAATGCCGCTGACTGATGATGCCGTCACAGGGCACGGGGCTGCAGACTGTTTAAATTTACTTAGGATGTATTTTGATGACAAAGAAGAAAACCGGATAGCTGTTACTATCCACTCTACTGGTACACTGCAAATATATGAACATATCAACTTGTATTTCTGCTTTTCTTCAAATATGCCAGCTCACAGATTATATCTGACCAAAAAATAAAGATAAAATTAAAAAATTACACCAAAGAACACATAAAAACAACTTTAAGAAAGTCCTTTCTACTGTTGCTTTCTACGGTATTAAAAATGAAGACCGAGGTGGTGCTCCGAAGCTAGGTGGCTCGGCATTCAAGAGCCCCGTCTGCTCTTACAGAGGCACCAAGTGTGTTCCCAGCACCCGCGTCATGCAGTTCACAACCATCTGTGACTCCAGCTCCAAGGAGTCTGATGTCTCTGACCTCCTCGGGACCTGCATTCAATTGCACACACCCACTTAACGTAATAAAAATAAACTATTTTTATTAAGATAGGAGGGAGAGGGTGTGGCTCAGTGATAAGAATGCTTGCCTAGCATGCTTGGAATCCTGGGTTTGCTCCCTGACCTGGGGGATGGGGAAAAGATGAAGGCAGGAAACTGAAGGCGACTCACAAGCAGACCATTCTCTACATAGTAAAGATGGGCATCCTCTTGAAAGGACAGATGTACTCTGAAGGACTTTGAAGCCTTGATGTTTACAGTCCACCGAGAGCATTTTCGACAACACACACCCAGCTTCCTTCCTACTGTGGACATCCTACATTACAGTGCACTGCAACAGTTTCTTTTTTTACCCTCTGTTCCTGCTTATCGTAAGACAAGAACACATTAACGGACACAACAGAGGAACTTATTACATAAAATCCAAGTTCCTCTACTGCAACCACCTTCCTTTATTCATCATGATGATACAAGTCGGCTGCAAACAGCAGAGCTTGCTTCGGCATCTAAGGAAGATGAAAGACATTTACAAATGCCTTAGCAAATTTTACAAAACCATTCCCCAACAAGAGGATTTTGGCAGGAGTGAAGAAACCACTCAGTGCAGCCGCCATCAGAGAGTGGCCTTGGGAGAGACATCACTCAGTGTGGGGGTGCAGGTTCCGCACAAACCCAAGGTCACAGAAAGCACACTGCTTTTATAAGGAAAGGAAGGGAAATTACAACATTGTTATTGGCACATTAGTATCGGCTTTGATAAACTGTTTTTTCTAAGGTCTTAAAATCTGATTCTATTAAATGTGGACACAATACTTAGAGGTTTATTCAGAGGAATCTAACCCATCCTCATCAGCCAATAGCACACTGCTGCAACTCTTCGGCATGTTTATTCTGGCGTCCCTGTCCACACCTGGATGCTATCTCTTGCTTGGTTAACTTTAGACATTTTCTAGACTTCCTACTCTGGAAGCAGAGGGGTTAAACCATATCGCTGCCTTTCCCTCCCACCTCCCAATATGGTTGCCTTGGATTTTTGGTTAAATTAATGAGGTGTACATTATTAGCACTGTGTACATATTTCTTCAGTGCTGAGTGAATTGATTTTTTTTCTTTGTGGAAGAGATGAACTAGTTTTCTGTATAACTAGAAAGGACAGTCCATATAAGCCACACCTTTAGTAACTGATGTAATTACAGACATTTCAAATCCTCTCTCAGTTCCTTGTCTCCTCAGCTCAATCCCCACTGTCCTCTTGGGCCAGCCATGTGGCTCTCATCCAGCCTGCTGCTTCACGCTCTTGGTCACCCCTGTCTTTTATGTGGCTTACTTAATTTGCTGAGGTATGTCTTTCAGAAGGTTCTATTAAAAGCACGCGCATGTGTGCTTTCTTGTGTGCGTGCGTGCGTGCATGTGTGTGTGCAGTGTGTATTTCATCAACAAATGGCTGAAAATGCCACACTCTACCCTTGTATTGACATTCTGGGTAGAAAGTTCTGGGACAAAGTACCTTTCTTTCTCCAGAATCTGTAAGTCAGGCTTCTAGGCACCTGCAATGGCAGGATAGTTCATACATTCCTGATTCCTATCTGTCATTTTTTCCTATAGTCTTCTTAATCTTTTCTTTTTCATTTTTATCCTAAAATTAGAAAATACTATGCTTTATAATGGATGTGTGATTTATTCACATGTGCACTGTGAGGGATCTCACACAAAGACACATGCTTGTTGCTTCTGGAAATCTCTCTCTCTCTCTCTCTCTCTCTCTCTCTCTCTCTCTCTCTCTCTCTCTCCCTCCCTCCTTCCCTCCCTCTCTTTCTCTGAGACAGGGTTTCTCTATGTATCCCTGGCTGTCCTGGAACTCTCTATGTAGAGCAGACTGGCCTCGAACTCACCAAGACCTCTCTCCCTCTGCTTCCCAAGTGCTGGAATTAAAGGCATGCACCACCATGCCCAGCTTTGGAAATTTTTCTTCTATTTTTTTTCTTTAGCCCTTTGCTTCCACACTCCTAAAATTTTTTCCTGCTGTGGTTCTTCCAGAATTCTAATGAGTGAATATATTAGTTATTATACTACATTAATATATTAAAAATCTCAGCCGGGCGGTGGTGGCGCACGCCTTTAATCCCAGCACTCGGGAGGCAGAGGCAGGCGGATCTTTGTGAGTTCGAGGCCAGCCTGGTCTCCAAAGCGAGTTCCAGGAAAGGCGCAAAGCTACACAGAGAAACCCTGTCTCGAAAAACCAAAAAAAAAAAAAAAAACCAAAAAAAAAAAAAAAAAATCTCGGCGAAACTTGGTGACTTAAGAAAAGCCGTAGGTGGGAGATATTGACGGTGCTGGATCCCTAGTACTAGGGAAAATGAACAGAAATAAAGCAGGCCAGTGGTCATTTACAATGCTGACCACATCATCTACAGAAATCGAATTCTTCTGAGCAGAGCAGAGAGCCTGTGCCCATGACCCACTCTCCACTCAAGACTACTTCTGGGTAGTGGTTCCTCGGGCAGCTTACCTTGCATCCCATGGGCCTCTTGGAGGACCGTTATCCTCAAACAGGTGAGGTGTTTTTACACTCTACTTCCTTATGCTTTAGTTCTACTGTAGGAGTTATTTTGTCTCCTAGCTGTTCTTTCAAAAGCTTTCACCTACCACATTTCAGTTCCACTGACATTGTACTCTGACGGCTCTTCCTTTACGGCAAACCATTCCCATTTCAGAAATGATCTTTCACTTTGCCCTTAGCTCCATGGATCCCGATTGTGAGTCTTCGTTGATTCTGTCTTTGGGGTTTCTTTGTTCGCTCGTTACCTCGCTTGACTGTGTCTCCTTTGTAGACATTTTCTTTAAAACCTGGAGCTCTGTGGCTGCCTACTCATGTCTAAGACTAAAGTACTAAAAAGTCAAGGAGATCTCCCTAGTACTCACACTGCATATCATTGTATCATTAAATAATTCTACTCTAATTAAAACCCGACCCAACCACTGCTGACAATGCCCTGTGCCACCAGCGCCCAAGTCATCATTATATCCTTTTCGATGACTGCAGAAGCTTTCTAACTGGTCTCCTTGTTTCCTTCCTGCCTCACCTATGGCTCATTCTCTACACAGAACCCACTGGTTTTTCTTTAAAGCTGTCTGCACATGACATGATAATTTACTATCTCTCCCTTCCAGAACAGTAAGGGGCTTTAGTTGGTGTGATGGGGAGCCCCAATGAGGGGTTGTCTACAGATCAGGCTGGCCTGTGGGCATGCCTGTGAAAGATTTACCTTGATTGTACTGATTAACATGGAGAGACCAAGCCCACTGTGGGCAGTGCCATTCCCTGGCTTTGGGTCCTGAACTATGTGAGAACAGAGAAGACAAGGAGAAGCAGGTATGAGTGTACTCATCTCTCTCTGCTCTTGACTGTGGAGGAGATATTTCATCAGCATTTATAATACAGCTAATCTTCCTAGTTAGTCCTTTGTTGGAAGTGAGTTCTGCACTTTCTGTCCTGTTCCATTAAATGTGCTTGCCTGTTTCTATAAGAAGCTCTTTTGCAATGTCTCCTCCATTCTCAGTAGAATATACAACAAAATTAATAATGAACAAAGTGTGTATTACTAAAGGCTGCTATTTTTTGTGGCAAATATTCTGATTTCTACTGAAGACTATTTTTACTAAGGACTGAAGAATAATATCCAATTAAAGGTTTTTCTTTGGTGGTTTATTCTGAATTAAAAAAACAAAACTTCTCAGCTTTTACTATGTGGTTAACACGACCCTTCAAGTTTTATCCCTAGTGCATATGTTAGCATGTCTCTAGCTTGTGTAGTCTCCTCACCCCATTGAGACAGGATCTCACTGTGTAGCTCTGTCTTGCCTGGTTGGTACTTCCTGTACACACTGGGCTGGCCTTTTCACAGAGATCCAACTGCCTCTGCCTCCCAAGAGCTGAGATTAAAGGCATGTGCACTGATGCCTGGCCCAAGCATGTGTACTTTCCGACATGGCAACTTATCCTATAAAAATTGACCTTTTTAAAAATGATAACAAGTCAGAATTTTAACCTACTTTCATGATGGCTGTAGTTGTGAATCTACATTGTGATCAGAAACTGCTAGTTATCCTTTTTGAAACATCATTCACCCATAACGTGCAGGAGGTGAGCACTCCCTGGTGTTTGGTGCTGTTGAATGACTAAGTATGTGATGAAGACATCTACCAGAGCACCTAAGATGTGCATTTTAACTCTCAAGTCTGTTAGGTCTGAATCTCAGACTTGATCGATACTAAGCCAGGGACATACATTTGATAGCACAGGACAACTGAAGAGACCCCAGAAAGCCAGAGTATCCAGGGGTGTGCATGGCTTTGCCTCCTCTCTGAAGAAGAAGTGAGAGATAAAGGTCTGTAAGGTTATTAAACCCACAAGGACGAACCCACTTCCAACAAAGGGGCTAATGAGAAAAAAGATGAGCTGTTTTATAAATGGTGATGAAATAACCAAAGACCCACAGGCCAAAAGAAAAACACCCAACCCTCCATCCTTACCTCACACCACATATAAAGATTAACTCAGAGGGATTAGGCCAAATAGGAGAGTTAAAACCACAAACGTTCTGAAGGAAAACATTCTGAAAGTATCTGAGAACCATTCTCAACCTCAAAACAAGAAGCAGGAACTACGGAAAAAAATCAAATAACTGGACCTTATTAAAACCTTTACTTTTCAATAACACCCTGCCTGGGGTTGGGGGTGCATCTCAGTGGTAGAGTACTTAAATAGCAGTGCAAGGCCCTGGGTTCGATCCCAGCATGGAAGGGGAAGAAAACAAACACTATCAAGAAAATAAAGGGCAGACCACAGTCTGAAGATGAATACTCACCAAGCATGACTCACAAAAGACCTACAACTAGAATACACAAAGAATTCTGCAACCCAACAAAAAGACATTTCCATTAAAATAGCAGAAAAAGACTAAACAGAGACTTCCTAATCTACATGAACAGCAAAGACATAAAAAAAAAATGACCAACACCTTTAATCAGTAGGGAAAATGAAAGATGCAACAAGACTCTACAGACTCCTTAACCACGACAAGTGTGGGAAAGACTGCAAGGTGATTGGAAGGGCCGGTATGATGGCGAGCTTTAATTGTCCACTTGACACAACCTAGAATCACCCGAGAACAGAGCCTCGGTGAGGGACCATCTATATTGGGAAGGCCCATGGGCATGTCCGTGGGGATCATAATTACGTTAATTGGTGTGGGTAGAGCCAGCTCACACTGTAGGTGGCATTGCTTCCTGCCTGTCTGGAGCTGGGTGAGTGGAGAAAAGGGAGCCGAGCTAACCCAGCCAGCAGGTGAGCACATAGTCTCTTATTCTCAACTCCCGACTGTGGGAGTAATGACTATTTTAAGGCCCTGCCATGATGGACTCTAAGGTGGAGTTGTGAGCTAAAAATAAGTCCTTTCCCCTGAGTGGCCTTTTGTCAGAGTATTTTATCACAGCAACAGAAATGAAATGGTCAGTATACATCAGTACAAAGTACACTGCCTACCACTAAGGTTACAGAAAGAGAGGCCTGAGTCAGTGGAGACCTCTCTCTTCGAGGATTAGTGCACTATTTCAGGTTTCTGAGATAGCGCTTTACAAAAGAATATAAATAAAACAACCAAATTCTTTCGTTCCACTTACAGTCTTTAAACAAAGACACGGACTGCGACACCAAGGCAAGGTCACTTCAGTTCGATGTAGACTATGCCAGCTTGCATAGTATCCATTCAAGGCAAATGGAATGAAGTTATTTTGTTTGTTTTGATTTTTGCTTTACCAATATTTATTTATTTATTAAATCTACTCTCTTCCTGGGTATCTCTTATTCTGAACTCTAGACTCCCGTCTGGAAGGGATCCTGGGCATCACAGACTTGATTCTCTATGTCATTTCTTTGACCTGTCAGTCATTGGATGGGCATTTCCTTACTGAGCTGGTCTCTGCCATGAAAGGGATAGTGTTCTATCGCTCACGTGGGCCTAAGTGCAGCTGACAAGCTATATATGTGGGTCTACAACAGAAACAACCAAGACTCTGCCCCCAAGAAACATAATTATGAAAATGGAAAACTATAAAGACAGAACAGAAAATGTCCATTACATACCACTTCTCTCTTTAAGGATTCCTACCTGGCTCTACTAAGGCACCCTTAATTACCTAATAAGGTTGAGGCAATATTAGCTTTCAAGACTAGCCAGCAGTAGTTCCCCCAGACAAACGAATCTCCCATCAAGAATTATCAATGCTTCACGTTGGAAAAACAATATGATACCTTTATCCTTCACTTTCTGTATTTAAATTAATAGGTCAGAGATGGAAAGCACTTTCAAAACAAAGCACAGTGGATATGTCTGAGGTCATTCACATAATGAATGCATGCATAATTCAGAATAGGACAGGCTATTGATAACACGCCGATGTGCACCATCATGAGCCCCAGACAGCTGCACAGGACTAAATACTCCTGAGTATCCTCTTTTACAAAAGAAGCAATGTCCCCAAGTAAATTGCCCTTCGTGGAGGTTTTTAAGAACAAAGCAAACTCATAAGAAAAGCAGAAGTGGAACCACGTTACAAGTTCAGCCTTTAATCCTGTAGGATGAACATCATCCAGTTACTTATAAACCAGTTTGACAATCCAATTGGCAGTATAAAGCCATAAAATATATATCAAAGCTATCATTTCAAAGTCAAGCATAACCTCTGCTCAATTCATTTGACCAAATTGCAATTGTGAGAAAAAAATACAGGTTCAATCCCAAATATGATTTCATTCAACTCTAATCCTAATCAGGACAAGTCACCCATGGACCTTGGCTGGGTAGTCTTAATCAAACTCCATCTCAAGTTGAAGTTTTGCTGTGGAACAATCCTTCTGTATACTGTGAATATGTATTACTCTCATTGGTTAATAAAAAGCTGGCAGGCCAGTAGCCAGGCAGGAAGTAGAGGCGGGACAGCCAGACATAGAGGACTCTGGGAGGAAGAAGGGAAGAGGAAGCAGGACATGCTGGAGGACAGATAAAGCCACCAGCCACATGGCTGAATGTAGGTGAATAGAAATGGGTTAATTTAAGTTGTAAGAGCCAGTTAGTAATAAGCCTGAGCTATGGGCCAGCATTTGTAATTAATATTCAGCCTCTGAGTCAGTTATTTGGGACCGGGCAGTCGGGACAGGAAAACTCTGGCTACAAAGTTCTAGAATATTTAGTGGCATTTTGAAAACTGTCCTCACCTGTTCGATGACATAAAAGGCAAATTCCAGCCGCTGTTTCTGGAGCATTGGAATCAGGTGCAGGAAAAAAATTGGAAGATGTTCATGGCGGTTACGGAAGGGGATGAGAACTGCCACCTTGAAAACAGAACAGAACACTTGCAGTGTGAGTAAGGCAGTGTTTCAGCAAGCCCTGCAAGTGTACACAGCAGCATAGCCTTGGAGACGTCTAGTGCCTTCAAGTCACAGCTTGTGAATATTCTCATCAGACTTACACTGTGGGCTCACACAGGTGTGGCCCTTGCTTCACTCCTATTAAGGTCTTGTGAAGCTAGAAGGGACAGATACATTCTGAACAATTCTGAAGCATCACTCACTGCCCCGCCCCCCACATACTCTCAACTTCTAGGATTCAAACTTTGCCAGAGAAGCAAAATCTTATAGGTCAGATTCTGACCTTCACAAAGCTAAAGCATCTTCTAATTCACTTTCCTTAACTTCTGAGTTAAACTGGCTTTATTCTAGCTGTTAACTTGTTATTAAAACTTGATATCAACACAGTAAATTTTCTATACATGATAATTTCCCAAAATCACCAAATTTTCAAACAATTTAACAAATGAAAAGGTTATTAAAACGTGTCTATGCCACTTTATATTCTGGATTCTGAAAGAGCCATAAACCTGGAGTTTGTTGAAATTTTTATCTAGACCTAATATATTAACCCTAACAAATAAAAACTACAAATAATTGAGAATGCTAAGTTCCGAGACTCATTTTACTTGTAAAATCAGGACATGACCTTAGACATTGTTAACACCAACAAAAAAGTCAACAGTAGAGCTGGGGGTGTAGTCAGAGGTGAAACACGTGCTTAGCATGCATGGGTCCTGGATTCAGTTCCCAACACCAGAAAAAGAAAACAAACAAACAAAAATGACATTTAGCCACGTGTATTGCCCGAGTTGCAAATGGGACAAGACTGAGTCAAGGGTCTCCTTAGAAGTAGAAGACGACCCCACTTAGTAAATGTGAGGGCATCTAGACTAGAAAGGCTATGATTCTTTCCTTCACTGATGTGACAGTCTACGAGGCTGGCATTTCCACGCTGCCATTGGCGGTGTTACATTTGACAAGTCATAGGACCCACCGTGATTCTGATGCCCTGTGGACACCACTCCCATTTGATGTTCCCCAGAAGATATCTCTGAGCTCAGGACTGTGAGGACCTGGATGATGCTACAGCAGCATCAATAAGGCCACCCTAGTCCCCACGTGGTGAGTACTGAGGGTGCTCAGCGGGGACTGCTGGGCTTCGGGATGGTCGGCTCATGTGAGGAATTCCTAAATCAACAAGCAGCCAAGCAGCTCATGGGGCCCTGGTTCACAGTGAATGCAGGGACGGCTAAGGAAAGTCCAAGGGGAGGACAAGTTACGTGGTGAGGGTTATGTCCTCACTGTGTCCCTTACCCGAGGTCTATCAGTGGGAGGTGTGGCAAAATCTAACCCTCCTGACTTTCCCTCTGGCTACAAGCTGCCGACCTGTGACATAATACAAATGGGCTCCGAAAGCAGTTAAGGCAACTAAGAGATATTGGGCAGGGGAGATGAGACATCAGGTAGAATGGCTGACAAACCAGCACCGGAAAGTTGTCCTCTGGCCCCTCCCCCATGTCACAGCACACATGCCACACGCCTTATACACAAAATAATAAATACATTTTAAAAAATCAAATTATAGGGGCTAGAGAGATGGCTCAGTGGTTAAGAGTGCTTGCTGCTCATTCAGAGGACCTGAGTCCCATTCCCAACACATGGTTTAAGCGGCTCACAACTGCCTGTAACTCAAGCTCCAGCTCCAGGAGATCTGACATTCTTATCTGAACACACACACACACACACACACACACACACACACACACACACACACACACCTTAAAAAAAAATAAAATTATAGATACATAAGCGAAGAAGCCACCAAAGGGGTGAAAGTCTGTATTAAAGATCACCCATGTGAATGAAATACAATCAGGCTGAGGAGCTGAACATGTAAGGATCAGCAAATACCAAGTGACAGCCCTAATATAGTGTGTTCTTCAGTGCAGCATCTAAAATACCAAGAGCTGGTTTGGGTTTGGAGGTTTGCTGTTGGTGGATGGTTTTTTTTTTTAATCTTAGTAAGAAACTGAGAATGTTAGAAAAGAAAGTACCTTGGCAAACAAAAGGAGTTAAGTGTGACATTTTAATAGTAAATGCACATCCGAGTCACAATCAGATGCTGTCACATTTTAAGTGACTGGCCTAAAGCGCTCGCTCGTGCTCGCTCTCTCTCTCTCTCTCTCTCTCTCTCTCTCTCTCTCTCTCTCTCTCTCTCTCTGTTAATTAAAATGAAGTTAGATAATATCATGAAAATTCACCTAACATACCTACCTGTGGAGCAATATTTTTAATAGTTTGTAATTTATTGTCGAGAAAGAGAGTGCCATGTCCCATGGTCATTCATGTTGGGGGTTGTCAGCCTTCCTTCCACACGTGCAGACTTGCAGAAGCCCCTCTCTTGTGATGGACCAGGGGAGACGGAGGACATTTGCTCACCATCTTCTACACTTTATCTTTCTAAGTCCTTCCTCACCACCTCTTGTTCAAGAAAAATCACTTCCCATTTCAAGACTACTAATGTTACTGAATTATCTGTGCACTCCTCTCCTCCCCTCCCCTCCCCCCCCCCCCCCCGCCCCACTTATGTCCTCTTAAGTTCACTATGAAGAGACGATCAAGAGAATGTCTGCCATGTAGACCTCGCCCAGCAAGTTCCTGCCCCTGCCGCACACGCTGAAGCACACCACCATCTACATGCCCCAGCGTGGCGCAGCTTTACACCAGGTTGGTTTAGAGTCCAGCTAGCTGTTGGCACTGAATTCGATGGAAGTGAGGGTGAGCTACTGAGCTCTCATTCTCCTGGGATGTTTTAGTTCTACCTCCCTCTTCTTCCTCATCTCCAGTGCCTACAGGAACAAATTTCAGCCTGATAAAGAAGGGAGGCACAGTTCTTGTCTGTTCCCTCTAGATGAGTATGTCTGATGACTTTGTTCAAGAATTGGCTTGTGTCACTGAACATCTCATGTAGGCTGAAGCAGGTGGTTAAGACCCATCCCTGAGGGACCTGGGGTGAGGAACTTTGAGCCTCTAATTAGGACAATCTCATCAAGCTTTAGCCTGTAGGTGTCAGACCTCACGTGATCCCTGCATGGAAAGCCGTCATCACAGCTAACCACCTGAAAAGCACCAATTTGCTCCTCTCCAAGTCCCCTGTGGAAACATGACTACCTCCATAAGATGCCTGACCTTTGAAGACTCTTCCTCTCAACCCTGCAGTATCAGGGATACCCAGAGAGTTCTGGACTCTCTAATATTGGCAGGTTGCAGTGCAAACTGACTTGGTACTTAAAAAAAAAAATAGAGACAGGGAGCCTCAAAGATTAAGACTCAAGTGAAGAGCAGATTTTAGCATGTGTCTAGTAACTACTTTCTTCCTTCCCTCGGAATTCTACACCATGAGAAGGGGGCATCATTAGAATCATACACGGCAGGCAAAGGCAGAGGGAAATTAAATATGGCAAGTGTAGCTCACCTCTGAAGGACCTTCAAATGTCCTCCTGTTGTTTAAGTTCAACTTAAAACTAAAGACTACATTTTCACTGTGATGGCTGGTCTTGGTTGTCAGCTTGACCACATCTAGAATTACCTAAAACCCAAGCAGCTGGGCACACCTGGGAGGGATTTTTTTCTTAATTAAATCATTTGAAGTGGGAAGACCCACTTCTAATCTGGATCTCTAGAGGTGAGAAGATCCACCTTTAATCTGGGCCACACCTTCTGCTGGCAGCCTATATAAAGGACATGGAAGAAGGAAGCTTGCTCTCTTTGCCCGCTTGCTCTCGTTCTCACTGGCAAGTCCATTCCTTCACAGGCATTAGAGCCTAGTGCTTTGGGATTCTGGCATATACCGAAGACCAGCTGAGACATCCAGCAACTACTGAATTGGACCTTCCATTGGTAGACAGCCATTGTCAGACTAGCCTAGAAGCCATTCTAATAAATCCCATTTACACACACACACACACACACACACACACACACACACACACACACGCACGCACACGCACACACACATACATATATACACATATATATGAATATATATACACACACATATATATTCATTCTATAAGTTCTTTTTCTCTAGAGAACCTTAACTAATACACTCACTAAAGTAGTTCAAAGCGGAACGAAGCGCTATCATACAGCATCTACATAAAGGAAGCTAAATTTTTTAATCCCTAAATTACTTTGCTCCCAGGAATTCCTCCAGTCCTATTCAGTCATGTGAGTACACAGCCCACTAACGCTCTAATTAAGAATGACCCCTGTGGTTCCAGCTGTCCCAGAAAGTAACAGAAAATATGCTAGAAAATTTAAGACCTATCCAGTACAAACCACAGTAGGCAGAATATGCAAGTTTTCTGATCCCAAGCTATCCCACCAGTACGACACACATGCCATGTGTCCTGTTTTTGTCCTAGCCTCCATGTTGTCCCTCAGTCTTCAGGATTATGTTTTTCCTGACACAGCATCCAACATATACACTCATTACTCAAGAAATAAAAATAGCCCATTTTCCAAGGACATTTTCTAAAGTAGACTGTTTCATATAGATACAACTGTTCAGAGGATCTACCAAGAAACATGAAAATTCATTTGTGCAATTATAAAATAGAATATTTTCCTAAAATTTGTACTGAAATGCATTGAAGCAGCTTTGTAACTTGTTTGAAGTCATGAGAAAACGGAACTTTTATTTATTCATTTTTAATAAGGCCACAAAGGCATTTATTAATCTCATAAGGCCAACTCAACAAAACTATGTTGTTTACTCATGCAAAGTGCTCTGCTACACATGAGGGATGCAGCGAGAAATGCATGCATCCCTGTACAGAAGGCGTTCAAGGTCAAGTCAATAATGTCACAGGATCTTTATCAGACAATGAACAGCATAGAATTCTCCTCCCTGCTGGGGATTTTTTTGATACTAACATACAAATGTTAGAACACTGGTACTCTTTAAAAGGACCATTTCCAGGTTAAAGTCACATCAAAATCCTGAGCACCTAACACCTGCTTGATGACTTCTGGTTTTCACTTCAGGTGCATAGAGCTGTGCTGGACTCTAACATAGCGCCATTACACAGATTTTCATTTAGGGTCAGTTCCACAGTACTGAGAGCAACTTCCAACCAGTTTTCTCGTGGTTGTTTTGGTTTTGTTTGATTGTTTGTTTGTTTTAGTGCACAAGAGGCTGACATGCTCCCTTACAGTTTTCCAAATGAAATATTAAATAGAATTCTGACCCATCAAAAGAGCTTGTGCTCTGCCTTCTGATAACCAAGTGAAGAGCTCAAAGCCCCCCTTTCAAGTTTGGCCATGACTTCTGAGAGGCCTCTGGTGATAACTGAGAAACAGCTTGGCAGGCCCACTGCTGAACCTAACTGAAAATAAGGACATTAGAATCCTTCCTGTGAGTTCTCCGTTCCAGGAACTGGTGGGAAATACCTACAGGCATCAGCAGTCATTGGCTCGTGGCCGTCCCCTCTGAACAAGGTAGTACCAAAAAGAAATCCGTTCTCCAGCTTAAAACTCATCTTACTTCTTTACCAGAAACCCTGAGACCCTGAACATAGGAACACACACTCTGTGCATGCACAGGTACACTTACAGTCTTCAAAATAATCGCACTGACTGCAAGGAAGCTGTAAAGGTCTGTGCATTAAATACAAACATGCTTCCATTTTATCCAAACCTCAAAAAGATTTTGCTCTCTGTTTTGAGCCAAGCACATTCTTGTCCCCAAATGCTTAGTCACTGCCACATAGCCTTTGAGGAAAATTGCCTCACCTTCCATCTGGGCTTACAGTCTTTGGGCCTCCAGTGACCTCCTGGCCCAATCTCTACGTCCTTGGAGAAAAGCTGATGAACTTCATCAAAACTGATTTCACTCACATTGACATTGAGGAATCCCCCTGAAAGTCAAAACACATGAAGGACCAACATCAGTCATAGAGCGATGAACAGTATGGGTTATTCCTGTCGTCACCATGTACTTACTGAACAACACCTCCTTTCACTTTTAGATGGTAACTTGTATGGCCACTGGCTGAAGAAAACGAAAATCCTTAGCCTTTTGTTTTTCAGTAAAAACACTTTTAAGTAAATATATATATATATATATATATATATATATATATATATATTTGCAAGTGTTGAACCTCACTCTAACATGGCACACTCTTATAATTTAACAACTACCCAAGTATTTTAGTGTGTGTATGTGTGTGTGTGTGTGTGTGTGTGTGTGTGTGTGTGTGTGTGTGTGTGTGAAGTGTATGTGTGTGTGTGCATGGGTGTGCACATGAATGGCATGTATGTAGAGGTCAGAGGATAACTTCTCGGGCTCAGTCCTTGTTATGTTTGAGACAGGGTCTTTCATTGACCTGGAACTACAGAATCCACTGTCTCTGCCTCTCATTGCTCCATCACAAGGATTACATGCATGCGCCAGCACATCTGGCTTTTTATGTGATTTCCGGAGACCTGAACTCAGGTCCTCATGCTTGGGAGGCACAAACTCTCCAGATCATCCATCTCCCTAGCCCTTAAAACTACACAAGTGTGAAGAGTCAAACATCAGGGACCTGAATCCTAGAGCCTACCAGGGGACATTGTTTTTTCTCTGCCTCAGCTTCCTCGTCTATAGGAGAGTGTAGTGATGCCTGCCCTCCAAGGTGGTCACATCATCTGATTCAAAAGCCCGCAGTATCAGCAGGATCCACAGCCACAGAGACAATGGACCTCAGATTAGAACATTTGGGAAGGAAAAAAAAATGTCATGTAGACATTTTTCTTGTCATTATTCCCTAAACAAACACATGATACCTACAGTTATTAGATACTATTACCAATCTGGAGGTGATTGAAAGCATGCACAGGTTGCATGTAAATATGACATTTTAATGTAAGAGACTGAGGTGTCCATGGACTTGGGTACTCTGGGTAGGAAGGTTCCTGAAATCAGTCCCCACAGGCCCTGAGAGAGCATTGTTGTTGGAGTTCCTGGCCACTTCCCCAGCTACATGACTGCACATGTGCTACTCAGTAGCCAGGCAAGATGCTTAGTCATTCCAGGGCTTTACGTCCTACGTAATCCGTGCACTGAGTGATCACATAATTTGTGGCTGCGTGATCACATAATCCATGTGCATGCGTAGCGTAGCTACATAAGCCCATATGCACATGTATGGGGGGATCCATAAAAAGCAGATCACAAAGCCGGGCGGTGGTGGCGCACGCCTTTAATCCCAGCACTCGGGAGGCAGAGCCAGGTGGATCTCTGTGAGTTCGAGGCCAGCCTGGGCTACCAAGTGAGTCCCAGGAAAGGCGCAAAGCTACACAGAGAAACCCTGTCTCGAAAAAAAAAAAAAAAAAAAGCGGGTCACAGACTCCTCCCCGCTCTTCTTCTTCCTCTCTCTCCTTGCATGACCATTTCCATAGGCCTAAGCACATCTTCCCTGAATAAACTCTTATCGTGGGTTTCGTTGTACCTCGAGGCTTTTCTCACATGGTAAACAGCACCGCTTAATGAATAACACAGTGCCACATAATAATAACTAACAATCATCACCTGTAGGAAGGACAGGGACAGGACAGACACTAGATATACTCAGGAAACACTGGCTGCTATCACTATTATTTACACAGGGCCCCACATAAGGCTGAGGCAGGAGAGAAAGATAGAAAAATTAAAGACACACAGAAAGGAAAATAAGCCTCTTACCCTAACTATTCTGCATTTCTTACTGGCTGACGGTCAAGAAGCTGCAATATAACCGGTAAAGCTGAGCTTGCTACCAAGGCAGTGCTCAGCCTCAAGAGGGTGGTGAAAAGAGGCAATGATGCTCTCCTGGGGCCAGAATGTTTATGGGCTTAAGCTGCAGTCTGTTAGCACTATTCTGGACCCCAAAGATAAACACTGCATCTCAGGAGACCACCTTACAATTTTACTTACAAAAAAAATCCCCCAAATCCTTAAAATAAATGAGCAAACCAGCTCACACATTTTTAAACTTTACTTGACTTGTAAACTCCGTTTAAATCTTGTTGTAAACTACATTCTTTGAACAACAGAACTTAAAAAGCCACATAATCATGTATACAGCCACCCAAAGACACTTAAGGGGGACTCTTGCTATTGAGAAGTCCACTCCCCTGTCTTGGGTATATGGTGTCCTTTTCCTGTGTGCCTCGCTGTCTAAATCTCTTGGACTCACTCTGGCTGGTCCTGAAATGCTTTTCTGCAGTGTAGTCACGGAACAGACGTTACCTGAGAAGAGGTGTCCATGGCACCTCCCTGCTCATGCTGATACTACTACTGAGCTAACTCCCCAGTTTCCGACTTGTCTGTTTTGAAGATAGAGATGGAGTCTCACTAAGTAGTAGCCTAGGCTAGCCTTGAACTCCCCATGGGTTGTTTGGCTGGTTGGTTTGGTAGTGCTGGTGACTGAACCTGGGACACACGTTAGGCAAGTATCCCTGACCTGTGTCTCATCCACCCCTGCTTGTTTGTTTTGATTGTGGAATAAAGTCTTGCCAGGTTGACCCAGCTGGCCTTTTAGCGGCAGTCCTTCCGTCTTGGCCTCCTGAGGAGCGAGGATTGCAGACCCAGACCACCAGGTGAAGCTCTGGCCTTGAACTCTCACTCCCCTGCTTCAGCTTCCTGGCTAGGCTTACAGGCATGCACCATCATAACTGGCCCCCTGACACGTCTTTTTTTCTTTTTTAAAAGTGTGTGTGTGTCTGTCTGATGTTAGAGCAGATGCCCTTGGAGACCAGAGATCCCCAGTTGTGAACTACCATAAGTGGGTGCTGGGAACCAAACCCAGGTCCTCTGGAAAAGCAATAATGTAACTGCTAAGCTATCCTTCTAGTCCCCCGCCCCCGGCAGTTCTTAAGAAAGGAAATTTGCATATATAAGCCAACATATTTATTCTGAGCACCAATCAGGCCCCTGATTATACAAAGCTGAAAAGCCAGGGCTAACAAGCACCGACTCTCCAACGTAACACTCATGGTTCTACCTGTGAAATGAGGCTGAATCTCTCTTAATCTAGTCAAATCCTGAACTAAGAGCTGGAAGCTTCTCAGTCCTCGCCCGATCTGTACAGCAGCTGCTCACTAACATCCTCAACGTCCCCCATCTCCAGTGAAAGCCGGGAAGACGGAACCACGGGTCATCTTTTAGCAGTCAACTAACCTGACACCTGCTAAAGTCCAAAGCAGGTACAAATCAGCCTAGAATGCTCTCCTGTCAGCTCTCCTTTCTAACTTCCCCATCTCACAGAGAATAAACCAACAGACCTTGATGTTTCTGAGTCTTCAGGGCCTCTCACGGCCACAACTACACGCAAAACACTTGGTTCCTCTCCAGACATCCCCTGGCCTTTCCTCCTCTGTCTGCTCAGGTCTATCCACGGTCTCCCTTCCCATGCCCCCTCATCTGGTGAAGCAGGCCCAGCAGAGGCTGCAGGCCGTGCTCATGCATGCTACACAGCAGTATTTGTAGATGTAAGCTCCTATGCTCCCCAGAGTGGACTAGGGAGGAAAATCCATCTTCTGATGGCGACCTGCCCTACGGATGAATTTGTAAACAAATACCCTCACTTTGGTGAGACAAATTGCTCAGTAGCTGACCTTAGAAAGGTCAGATGTAAGTATGCAAAACAGAATGAGGCCTATGAACTTAGAAAGACAAGTCAAATATAAAAGTAACAGTAGACATGGGGCCTAAAATATCAAGAATTTATCACAAAAAAACTCATCAAATAAAAATCACAAGTAGCTGAGCGGTGGTGTCACATGCCTTTAATCCTAGCACTCGGGAGGCAGTGGCAGGCAGATCTCTGAGTTTGAGGCTAGCGTGCTCTACAAAGCAAGTTCAGGACAGCCAGTGCTACACAGAGAAGCCCTGTATCAAATAAAAAAACCAAACAGACAAACAAAAAATATCACAAATAAATCAGATGTATCTTAAAGCAACCACATTACTAAAATGATAGTGATCAGGCTAAATTACAAGCAGCTTGCATAAGTAATTGAAGTTTGTGTTCTTGCACTGTTAAACACCTTTTTATCTTTTCTCCAGATTTCTTGGCTCAGCATCTGTAATTGTCACCATCAGTTTTCCCGCAGCATCCTTTGCAGTTTAATTTCTCTCTCCAATGCCTACGCACATTCCACTAAATTAGGAATCAGGCCTTCCGGGTTCCTGCTGGCTGCCCAGAGAATGCCTGACGCCTGAGGTACCCTGTTTTCATCTTCCTCCTGATGGCCTCCTCAGGGGTAACCCGCATTGTGTGCTATCAGCTTTCCTGTGTACCCAATGCTTTGCTCTGGAATCCTACCACCATGCGGGCTGAAGGGCAGAGATGATCCAGTGACGTGAAGTCATCCTGCCAATGACAGCAGCACCACCACTGTGGGGTGTGGGTCCTCCGGCCCCTAAGGAGAGCCACTTCCACTTTGTGTGTGTGTGTGTGTGTGTGTGTGTGTGTGTGTGTGTGTGTGTGTGTGTGTGTATGTATATGTATATATATGAATATATATATATATATATATATATATATATTCAAGAATATCAGTGCTTTCCAAAAGCATTTGAGAGCCACCTGCTGTGAAGGAGCCAGGAGTGTGTACACACCCTTCGCCCTTACTACAGTGAGCCACCAGCCAGGCCAGCCAGCCCTTGAGTTTATTTGCAGTGGGTATACAGAGCTTCCCAGAGACTGGCACCTTCACTGGTCCACGCTAAACCCCTTCTCTTCTCCTGCCAATAAGTGAATTCTGCCTCCTGTTAAAAGATCCAAAGGTCAAAAAAAAAAAGTACATTCACTAAAATCCAAAGAAGTGGAATCAATCAGCAAACAATGTAAGTAATACAATTTATCACAACGAATTTCACCCGTTGGAG